GGTTCAGGGTTTAGGGTGTGGAGTTACAGGGGGACTTAGAAAGGAGGTAAATAGAGGGGTTAATTGGGGTCAGTACATGGCTTATTATGGTTAGAAGTAGAGCTACTAAGTCCCTGGCCCTTCAGGTAGCGGTTTGAGGGTTTGGGGGTAGAGGCTCTGGGTTTGGGGGAATGGACTTTACCTAGACCTCACAAATGCCCATAGTTTGGGTACTCCCCCCCCCGTAACAGTCTATATTAGGGGTCCTATTAAGGGCTGTATATAACCATATTTTAATTATTATCCAACTGTTACTGAGGGGGGCAGTACCCAACCCATAGTAATTTCCAACAATCCAGCAACTGGAGTTTAGGGCTCACGGGGTTTAGGGTTTAGGGATGTCTTGCTTTATAAGCCTGGAACTAGTCATGGGTTCACCTACTGCGCCCCCTGTACCAACACGTTGCCCCACCTTCGTTGCCCTTGGATTAACCCTACTTCGCCCAATAAAGATCCATCAACTATGTCAGCGAAGGGAAACCCCAAGCGAGAAGCCCACATCAATTGAGACATATTGAGGTTCCATAGTCTCCTAAAAAGGTAGCTGAAAGTTGCTCAAGTTGCATCACGCAGGCGAAGAATTGTCCTGTTGATGTAGTCTTTGAGGGCCTCCATGTGTCAATGGATTAGTTTGCGCTCTTGAACGCATTGCTGAAATTAGGCTAGAAGTCCTGTAGTAACTCCTTGGGACATAGCTTGGACCTTAGACCCTTAACCCTTTGGGGTTCCCTTATATTCCTATTATAGGTAATTAAGGGTTAACCCTTAGTAGGGGTCCTAAGTGCCACACAGGTTATGCAGGTGAGAATCGCATTCTTTACCAAACATCGGCACGGTACCAATTAACCCCCGAATTTGTGAATGTTTGTGTTGGTGCAAGGTCTGGGCACTGCACACAGTTTAGACTTTGGGGTGGAGGTAAACTGAAGAGCAAGCCCTAAACTGCAAACCCTAAACCTGTGCTTTGGGTGCAATGAAGGGTCTTAATTCATTTTTTAGGGGTATTTAAATACATATACCTTTACAATGCCTATCCGGGAATGAGTGGGAAATGGACAAAAGTGGCGCCGCTATTGTGGGCGCTTTACCCGGAAAGTCTCTTAAACCAAGTATGCACCCTATATGCAATGGCCAGGGGCCCTAAGCCCTAAACCGCCTAAACCCTAAACCTTATGCCCTAAACCGTAAACCCTAGGCCCTAAACCCTAAAGGCCGATGCTTGGATTTGGGGCGCAAAGAAGCCCCGCTCAGGTTTTCATTTCCCACGCATGGGCTGAGGGAATCTTTGAGCTGGACGACTTGGTGCCTCACCTCGGCGTTTAGGGTTCAGGGTTTACAGTTAGTGTTCAGGGTTTAGGTTATAAGGTTCAGGGCCATCTTGAGCTTAAAAGTGTGAAATATTGAGATCAAGGAAGTTTGAGAACCCACACTAATGGGAAGTTTATTTGGCCTTGCGGTTTTAGGTTGTAGGGCTTAGGGTTTAGGGTTTATCGGTCAACTACACGGTCGTTTAGGGGGACTTGGTAAGTAGGTTAATATTGAGGATCACTGCGATTGTTAACATGCCTCATATGAGCTAGAAGTACGGGGGGTATATTTATGTAGAATAGGGGTTTAGGCCTTTTTTTCACTATGGTTAAGTAAGTGTTGTAAGGGGATAGCAGTGGTAACCATTCAGGGGGTACTGGGGCCCTAAACACGAAACCCCTTCAGGGCTTCTTCTGCCAAGAAGTGGCTTGGCTTTTCGTAGCCAGCCCCCGTAAACTCTAGCCCACCTCTTGTCAACGCATTCATCTGAGCTACAGTCTCAAGTCCTCGTATCCCCCTTAATAACCCTTATAGTAGTCCCCTATGTAACCCCCTTTAAAGGTTACAGACTATAGTTCATTTAGCTTCTGATAGCTTTTTTGATTAAGCTACATGTTTATTAGGGTTTAGGGTATAGTAACTAGGGGATTATTAGGTCCTTTTGGGGGTTTGGGTAGGATCTCGAGGTACAACCTAAAGAGACAAGCCCCAATATGTAGGGTTCAGGGTCTAAGGTTTAGGCTTTAAAGTTTAGGGTTATTAGGGTGAATGTCCTATAGTACCTCATATGTTCAATGAGGGCTTGGGGCTTACTTAGACCATTGTGGATATCACTCGGGTTCGTAATACGCCTGCCTGGCCTCTAAACCTGAAGCCCCAACCTCATCCCACCTTCCCATTCGTGTTCCGTTATTTTGCTTATTGGTCATTTTTAGGTAATATCCCTGAACCGTACACTTGCATAGTCCCTGCAACAATCCAACATAATCCATAAAATCGCTACGTGAAACCCCTTGTGCATATCTCATGAAGGGTTATACAAGCCCTACACCCTAAACCTACAGAGATTTTGGAGGTACGCCGTGGCTGGCCACGTTTGCAGTTCCTCCACAGCCTGTGGATCCGATTGCAAGAAGGGGATCGTACCCAAAGTGTCCATGTAGCTATATAGCTTATAGGGCTTAGAATTCAGGATTTAGGGTTTAGGGGCACCGCTACAGGTAGCTAAAGACCCAAGTATTTGCTATATAGCTGCATGACCATTTGGGGTAGTAAGACAGTTCTAGCATTCCCAGCCCACAAATCAACACCTTGTTATCGTCATGTGGTTGTTATGTTGCAGCCGTATGATAGTTATAGGGTCCTTATTCGGGGGTTGCTGTTACCAAAGTTCCATTATCAGACGGGAGGGAGTCCGGATTGACTTCAGCTTGCGTGGTTGTGACGCCCCAGCCCCCGCCACCCCAGAGTCAAGCCGGAGTCCACTGAAACCCCGAATCCTAAATCTGAAATCCTGGCTGGAAACTAGAGGCGTGAAGCCAGCGCTTCTGGCATAAAGAGTCACATATCGAGCCACGGAGTCTTTTCGTTGCGTAGGTGCATCTTTGGTTTTGAGTTGATAAAGAGTTGCGTATGGCTGGGCGGATCTTGAGTAGACATGAGCCAAGATCCATTTCCCGGAAGGATTCCACTTTCTGTCCTCAAGAAAAAGCAGCATGCGTTTATGGACACAGCCACCAAGAAGAAGCCGCATGATGACCTTTACTGGCTGTTGTTAAGGAACTCAAATAAGTTTACTGTAATATGGAAAGCCCACTATTTGCTATACCCATAATATGGTAGCTTAATTTAAGGCCTTTGACAGCAACCGAGTTTAGGAAGTTTCTGGAACCACCGGGCCTTGTTGCATCCACGCTGCTCCCTCATAGAAGCGCCAAGCCTCAGAGTCCAAGCCTACAAGCACGCCCAATGTGACCCTAGTTGAGCGCCTCAACTTTGCCCTACACTTGTATGGGGATACTAGGGATGTTACCCCGATGATGGAGAATCGAATGCACAAAGTGGAAATGAGATCATTGAAGCTCACAGCGCAGGGCCTTGTGAGTGCAGTCCTCACCAAATAAAGGTTGTTGCATCGGCTCAGGTACTGCTGTTTGCTGGCAAACCCACAAAACTCGGACATCTCTGCTTTGCTGAATGTCCCACCGATGGAGAGCCCTTTTGCCAAGGCCATGCAGGCCGCTTCTCATGTTCTGGTCATCCCGAACAAGAGTATTGGAATCTACACAAGATTATGGTGTGTGTACGAAGCCTATCTAGGCACCCGCTGGAACAAGACCTGTATCATGCCGGCACGGCCTCACACAGCCACCCAGTGCGGTACAATAACGCGAACTGCCGTGGCTCCGATTGCAGCAGGGCTTTTGCTGGGCTTGCTCTGGTGGGCTCTCCTATCACGCGAAGAGGTTCGGGACGGCTTCTTCTTGATGGTTACCACAACGATGCTTGCTTGTGCGTCTGGAACAGGGCTGTGTTTCCTGGCGTCCATCATCCTGAAGCTTTGCGGATGTGAATGGCAGAGGCATTATCGTTCCGTTCGTATGGGGCACGCGCTGCTGCTATTCCTTTGTACCGTCTCGCTCTTTCCGTGGTTGAGGTTCAAGCCCACTTTCTCACATGCTTTTGATCACTTCCAGCACTACTTCCTCCCGATCGTCCTGTGCCTGTTCAACTTGCTTCGCGTGGCGCAGCTGAACCAGCATCAGCTAGAACTCAAGGACCTTTACTGACAAGCTAATGACAACTAGCTTGCAGCTTTTAAAAAAGACGGGGGCCCTTTGGAGCTTCAGTGATGTTAATGGATCATGAATGGGTTATTTACTGTCGGACCCAGATACTGAAAGCGTAGGCATCCACAACAAGGATGGACCGCAAACGTGGGTGTTCTCATTTCTAGGACACACCTACATGACTTGCACCGATTGCGGTCTTTCTCTTACAGATGATGCAGGAGTTAGAGGAATTCTCGGGGTTCCCCATAACGGGTTGCCCCCTTGAAATATGCCGCAGGGCCCGAAAGTCTTAATACTGAAATTGTCAACATCATTCAAGGGGTAGGAAATACGATGCTCATGAACCCAAACCCATCAGTACCCGAAAAGAAGGCCAAAGTAGAAACCTCAAGAATTCGCAGCACTCCCTCAAAGACCTTATGTAGTTATACGTATATCACACACCGGAATCACCCTTAAAGTCCTTATGTCATTATAGTATATCATACCCCGGAATCTATTTGAATAAGTTAGGCCGGTACAGCAGGAGCTGTCACGGCAAGCGAGCCACCTGGAGTGCACTACTGTGGCAGATGCGACGTGCTCTGATCCGTTGGACACTGGGCTTGCAGGGTACTGAGCTCCAAACCCTAAACCCCAAACCCTAAATGACCCTAAATTGTTTAGGGTTTAGGGTGGGCCCAAACCCTAAGCCCCAAACTCGAATGGCCCAAATTGTTTAGGGTGGGCCTAAACCCCAAATCCCAAACCCAAATGACCTAAATTGTTCAGGGTTTAGGGTGGGCCTAAACCCTAAACGCCAAAACAAATGACCCAAATTGTTGAGGGTTTAGGGTGGGCCTAAACCCTAAACCCGACATCCACAAATCCCAGTAGCCCTGTAGGGGATCGAAGGCTCAAAGAGGGCTATATCAGGTTTATATTGATGTATGCGGGTTTAGGGTTTAGGATTGGGTTGAGAAGTTATGCCCATGTTTCTGTAGTTGCGTCTTGCGCAACATCACATCACCGAGAATCTGGTTGAGAGTTTCAAGGTTGGATTCTCGAGATATGAGTGGATGAGAAGTGCACGCTGCATTGCAAGCCAGCCAGTCGAAGGCAACTTTCGTTGTTCTAGAGTCGAGGAACACAAAGTTTCAAAGGGTCCATGCAGCCATGAAGTATAATGTAGACCCATGATTAATGAACCCCCTCCTTTTAAGGGCCTTAAAATTAGAATCCCGATTATAATCTCTATTCAGGCGAGGGGGTTTATTAATCACGGGTTTGGGTTTGGGTTTATGTTTTAGGGTGTGGGGTTTAGGGTGGTATACTTGGGCCCTAAAGCAATCCTTGGGCCCTGAGTAAATGCTATATAGCTACATGGACCCTTTGGGGAAGTAAATCGGAAACAATTCGGGTACTTACTTGAAGGCCGTCTTGCAAGGTTCTGGTTACTGCAAGGATGAGTTGCCCCAGCCTGCTGGCAAGGGGTGTAAATGGCAGGTTTCCCAAAATTATGCGTACCTTTTTGGGTGTCCCTATAATAAGGATTATGGTATATTGGTGTCTATATTGGGGTCCCCCCCAGCACGCCATGACATGGAAAATGGTCCTCTACGAGGACGAATTTTCGACAAAGCCGGAACCCTCAAGAACCCTATCCAAGGATGAACAACGCATCCGAGCAGCAATCCTGGGATTTGAGGAGTTCCTTGTGGAGCTTTCGCGGTTCATTGTTGATAGGGATTGGGGTTTAGGGTCTTTTTCGCAAGTGGAATTATGTAATGCTAACGCGCAACAGGGGTCTTGGGGGTGATCTTGCACCGAGGTTATTATTGAAGGATTATGTGGACATCATTCCGATGTATTCTGCCATTTTCATTAGAAGTACTAAGAGGCGCATTTTTTTCGAGGTAGCGACATTGGAGCAACACCATGCGCATTTTCCTCCCGTGTTGGCAAGATGAGTCATTTAGGCACAAGACGGTGTGTAACATGGGAGCCTAGGGTGCAGGCGCCGCTGAAGTAAGCTCCGCCTACAGTAATTCGATGCTCTGACAAAAGGGAACATTTGTGCGGGGTCTAGGCTCCTATGCATAGAGCGCCCCCAACCGAAACCACTGCATGATCCGCTTTGAAAGGGCAGTTTCTATCAACTTTGCTGCAACAGATACCCACTAGATCTGAGATGAGGATGTTGTGGAAGTTTCAAACAGAAGCCCCTGCGGACCTCAGAGATGAAGGGAGATGACAAGAGTTGCCATTAAGGAATACCTACGCCTTCTTTAAAGCATCCTCCATGCTTTCCATGTCGTGCACAGTACACCTAAACCCTATATACCCTAAATATGATTTGACGGGCGCTCCACGCAGGATGACATAGACATTACCATCCGCGTGCTCATGCAGGCTGGAGCTTACAACGATTGGCTTCGCAGTGCGTACGAAGCAGGTGTTGACATCCGAGGCGTTTGGGTACTTGTCAGCACACATTTTGCCTTTTGCGTTTGTAGGTAGCTTGGCAGTAGAAACTCCAAAGGGGCTTACCTGTTGTTAGAAGTAGGGCATGGAGGAATGGAAAAGAACGTGGGAACAACAGTGATAGGACACTATAGGTGGTAGTAGAGGGATCCATACCATTAAGAGTAGTGCAGTAGGTGACACTCATGTAGAGGGCGGCTTTGGCCCTTTTAGCCTGTATTGCCGGCCCAAGGTTTATAGGGTCTATCACTTGTGTGGCCTACCAAGTTCTGAAGAGCCTAGCATCTTTGCCCTAATCCCTAGCATCTTAAGCAAGCTTCTCCTATCAGATCCCGGAGCCCGCGCCTGAAACCTTAGACAAGAGCTAACATCTCAGGCCCAAAATTCTGGCAAATCCCTGACATCTTAAGCCTATAGGCCTTCCATTCTTGAATTAATGTCATAAGCCCGAAACAAAATCTCAAACCCCAACCCGGCTCCAAAAGGGTCCATGTAGCTATATCGTATATACTTGGGCCCTAGAGTCGTCATATGGAAACCCCTTTGGGCCCAAGGTACATACTATCTACCCACCCTAAACCCTAAACCCTAAACCCTAAACCCAAAACCCTAAACCCTAATCCCTAAACCCTAAACCCTAAGACTCTAGGGCTAACACCCTAAACCCTATATTATATAGCTACATGGACCCTTTTCGACTGTGGACCGAGGCTTTGGGACCTCCGACTTGATTGTGAAGACCAGTCTTGCCGCCAGCATGTGGGCATTGGCTGCACTGTGCCTTGATCTTTGTTCAGATTCATTGAATCAAGGGTTTAGGGCTTCAGTCTAGGGTCAGTCTCTAGGGTTTAGGGTTTATGGCTTAGGATTACGTTTCCCGACAATTTGATTTCATGGCTTAGTTTGAAGAAGAGCTTGTGCCCTTCCAGGGGTTAAACTGGCGTCCGTTGCTGCTCTACAGATTTACCCTAAGGCTCCAAATAGCCCAATGTAGGTCATATTTATAGACTTTGGGGGCCAATGTAGGTACTATTTGTAGACATGGAGCCCTAGGGTTACAGTGTTTCATTGCATCAGCTACTCAGGGCCGCCCTCGGGCCCTGCAGCATTTTCCAGAAGTACACTAGGGGTGCAATCGCGTTCAGATGACTTCCCCAGCACTGATTCTTTATGCGCTTTGGGCGTGTAGCTGGCTTGTGCATGGTCTAGGACTGACTCTGGATTGCGCGGTTTCGGGTTTAGGGTTTAAGGTCTACGGTATAAGAGCCCCTCGCCCAGGACAGTTGTCCCAGAAATCTTTTTGCAAGCGCCCTGATAAGACCCCAAGGTCTAAACTCTACAATCCCCTAACCCCTGACCCCTAAACCCTAAACGTTCAACCCTAAACCCTAAACCCTACTGCTTACTTCCCCTAACCCCTAAACTGCAAAACCCTCGACATGTTTGTGTTTGTTGGAAGGTGAGGACCAAACCGCAAGGCTTGCAAGATATGTGTTAGGGTGTAGGGTTTAGGGTCCAGGGTTGTCGTTTCAGGGTTTTAGGTTATAGTCCCCCTTAAGTAGATAGAATATGGTTCTGGGTATATTATAGTAAGATCCCCATATAACTTATAACCCATATTCTATCTACTTAAGGGGGACTATAAGTGTTTAAGGTTTAGGGTGTAGGGTTTGGGGCCAAGGCATTCGCTGGGTTTGCGGAGCTGCGCCGGTCCTTGTCGCAGCACGGACGCTCAGATGAGATACGGGGGTGCAGGGCTTTGAGATTTAGGATGAAGATTTAAACCCTAAACCCTAAATCCTGTTTCCCACGAGTACGGGCCCGCCCTACAAAACCCGAAATGCAGTCATCCTTCGTAGAGGAGTTCCCTTCTGATCTTTGGAAATTGCTATACAGCACGAAGCCGGATGTAAGTAATGTAAGGTTCTGACTGTATCCAGACTCCAACAATGGCTGTAGGTCTCTGCAAGTGACGTTGCCCGGAAGCATAATTGTGAAAGATTTCATCCTCGCGTTGACAATGAGCTCAGGACAAGGCCTGGATGGATGTATCGGTAGGGCTGTGCGCTGCAGTCGCGATCATCCTCCCTGCAACTGCTTTTGTGTTGGAGCGGTATGGGCCGGAACGGGCTGTGTTTGCTGCCAGTGGGCTGCAACAACAAAATACCCAGACATCCAAAATACCTACAGTACTTGCCTATCTGTCCATGGTTTTGGGGGTGCATGTTACGATTACGCGAATATTGGAGGTCTAGGTACGTTTCATTCTTGCCCGGCACCCTTTTTTAAGATCTGGAAGCTGTGGGTGAGAGGACATAGTGAGTATGGAGATAGCTGGGGTGATTCATTGTATGGAGGTTAGAAGTATACATACTAAGTCCCATAACCCTCCAAGTAGCAGTAATCACAGTATGTACAGCACAGGAATATCCAAAGGGTAGTGCTTGGACATCCTGATGCTTTGGCAGTTGCAGCATTAGCAAGCAAGCATCCTTCCCCCACCCCAGTGTTTTAAAGGATCCGAGTCAACTACAAATAACATAACATATACAATATTGTACAGACATGCATATAATGACACATCCCGCATCCGGATCGAACAGTCGAAATTCTTAAATGCTGGACAATTTAGCGAGCTCACCCGACCTCACCCTAAATGGTGGTTTTAATGGGGAAAAACATTAAAATGGCCTTAAATTGGGAATTGGAATTCTTCTAATTTACCCTGTAAGCGAGCCCCGTGTACTCCCAGTGCATGCCAAGTTGATGAGGTGAGGGTTTGGACGATGTCTGCAATGATCGCTCTCGGCGCCCCTGTCTTCGTGGGCATTGAAGATCACTTGCCCTCTGGCAGCTCTGGCATACTGATAGTGGCAGTTTCTCGACCCCTATATACTGCAATCCTTAATCTTACTGGCTGTTAGTAGGGATTACAGGCAATCAATCATCCCTAAATGATCAAAATATAGCGTCTTCCTTTATTCCCTTCGAACAACCAGTAAGTAATCGGAGCCCCTATAGTTTCTTCGTTTGCCAAATGTATCCCTATGGTCCCCAAGATGCGCACCTGTTGCGATCACCCCATAGGAAACCAGTGGGGAGCGATAATTCTAAGGTTAGCGTATGGGCCCCTAATATGGGCCCTCAAGGCGTTTAGATGGATTCTGGGGACCATTAAGAGTACGTATAGGGTGTATACTAGGCATATAGGATCCCAGGGTTAAGGGCCCATACTAGGGGCCCATGGTTTCAACCTTAGATAATGGCGGCATCACCACCGCGAAAAAAGGTTTTTAACACACCTCGCATTCTGACGGTATGCCCAAGGCACATTGAACCCTGGGCCAGAAGCATTCTATGCCCACGGCTTGGGGTTTAGGATTCAGGCAGTGTTTCCAGCAAACTAAGCTGAAGTATTGGCGAGGAAGGCTCAGATAAGCGGATTAGGTCAGCGCCAAAGTGCCCGCGTACCTCCGTTTCCACCGAATTCATGACTGCTTGCTCATACTTGGCGTTGCGGTGGACTTCAGTAAGTAGGTTAATGATAGAGCAGGTTCAGAAGTGCCGGCCTCAGTACAACTCCGTGCCTCAGAAAGGTTGCTAATGGTAATAAATGGGGTTACTATATGGCTTACAGGGGTAACGAGTATGCTTACTATGTTTTTCAACCCTTCAAAGAGGTTCTCATATTCATACATGTGCTGGCAGGTATGGGTTAAGGAACCAGGAGAAGTTGCTGAGGACTTTGGAAATAAGCCAGCAATTTCGGGGGTGAGTCGAGGTCTTTGGTGACAGCGCTACACCACTCCACGCAATTGCCTGAAGAATGTCCAGCCCCGCTGCTCAGGCCTCTTTTGAAGTAAAATATACGATATATTGGCGTTATATGGGGATAGTGGAAAATAAAGTGGAAACTACTATTTAGGATTTTGGTTAAGGGTTTAGGGTTTGGGGGACTTGATACATGGCTCCACGCTGGGTATGGGCAGAGTTGTCCAGAACAAGAGGATTTTGATAGACGCCAAACCCCTGTGATAGTTGTAGGCTACAGGGTCCTAGTTTTCGGGTTGAGTGGGGTCACCAGAAACCTCGCAGCAGTGAAAGACTTGCAGGTGCTGAGCTGTATCACTGTCGAAGTCCGGTCCTAGCCCAACACTCCAAGAAGTTGTCACAAGTTTAGAGGGGCCTTTACTTTCCGCAGTCCGTACTTGTGTGAGTATGTTTCCAAGATGTTGAGAAAGTCCCAGCGTGCAAGTCTGATTACTATAGCATTGTTCTAGTCTATATACATTGTGACTACTTTGAGCTACGGGCATTTGGAGCTTTAAACAAGGTCACAAGGGCCCAAAAGCCCGGAACCCTAAACCCTAAACCGTTCAAACTACAAAAAACAACAGCTGTGCAGGTCGATGGTGATGTGGTTTCGCCCGGCCACGGCATTGCTGGCAACGGGTGTTGCGGTGCTTGGGCCGGCGAAGGCGTGTAGGGTTTAGAGCTTGGGTTTAAGGTTTGGAGTTTAGAGCAAGAATAGCTTAGGGTTTCCAACAGGTTGGGTGTCCTTTTTTTGGGGGGTCCCAAGAATCGATTAAAGTGTTTAGGGCCGTTTAGGGGTATATGTCAAGCGGATTTTGGATGCTGAAAAGCTGGAGTTGTTTCTGGGAGTTTCTCAAAACTCTTAGGTTCATGTTGGGTCCGTTGGGATTGTGCTGTTTGCGTGGGTGTATATGCGTCAGCATTCACCTGCCTCTCCGACCCCCCGCCCCCAGGGTTTAAAGAAGGTTTGCACAGGATTCATTAATCGAATCGCAGGTTGTTGCAAGGTTCAAGAGATTTTCTGAAGGGTTAGTAGAGGGTTTCTGAAGGTTAGATAGAATATTATTACAGGGCTTAATGAGATGGAGAGTTCTAGAGGGTTTACAAAGATTTTATGAACTTTTAAAGAAGGTTTACAGGGGGTGGGACCTCGGTAAGCCCTCTAGAAATCTGTACTTACAGTATAAAACCTTTTATAGTCCGTCTATAAATGCTGCAGCAAAACTCCTCAGCTCTCCATAACTCTTAGAAGCCTTTCAACACAGGGGCGGGGGTATAGGTTACTCATACTGCATATCATTTCCATGGGGACAAGGAGGCCATGAACGCTGACACATATAGAGCAAACTTACACCCAGGAGTTTGCCGGAAGCATGACATGTGCTCTGTTCTGGGTCAGAGTGCATAGTAAGGCATAGTAAGGCATGGTAGGCGGAGTAATCAAACGACTTGCTAACCGACCTTGTAATTCAGGTAGTCCAATCCGAAAAACATGGTTGAAACCCTAAGAAGAAGTGATTCGCGATTGGCTTCTACAGGCACGGCTATGGCTCCTTGACAAGTAAGAGATGACTTAGGCTAAGCTCCCACCTTTCATGGTGTCTTTTCTGCCTCTGCCATGAAGGTCCCATTACCAAATCCTGTAGCCCTAAACTCTTGAAATCCCCGAATCCTAAACGCTCGAAAGCTCATTGCCCGGAGGTAGGCTATAAATTGCAACGTGGGTGTTTCAAGGAGGGTGGGTTAGGTCAATGTTCCAGGATCCTCCCTGCTCCCTGAGGATCCCTACAGAATCTCCATCTTGAACCAACACGGCCCCAGATCATTGCTACTTTGGGATCCCATGCCTTGACAGGTCCTTCACGCGCAGCTGTGGCTCTGCGGACGTTTCAGCAGCAGTACCTTTGACTCCACTTTGTTTGCGTCTGTGGGGGGGTTGGTGAAGAGGTTTCGGCAACGTGTACCTGACGGGGCCGCATGAGTTTTACTAGCATGGACTCTCTTTCTCTCTCTCGCTGAATGCCCAAGAATGCGTAGGAATCCGGCGAAGCAACGCTGATGTGGGACGAGCCACTATATAGAAGGAGTCTCTAAGCCTCTCTTCTTTCCATTGCTTGAAGTTCCTGGTTTCTACACGCCAGAATCCCGCACGGTCGTACACACGTACACATTCCCTGGATCCTTGCTGGAGTGGGCCCCGAGCAAGAAAAATTCCCAAATGCCCCTTATAACAGGTTTTCCAGTCATGCTCACTCACATGAGCTATAGTCTAAACTCCTTACGGGGAGGTTAGATAAGGGAATATACAGGGGACTACTATAGGGGCTGTTAAGGGGGATACTAGGAGTCTAGGCTACAGCTCGCATTCATGTTTTTTTCATGTTTCCGGGGCTGACGGCCACTGCTATGGATGACTGGAAAGTTCAGGCAGAGACCTGAGCAAGTTCTCACAGGCATTGAAAAGGATATGTGAAGAACTGCGGCCCAAAAGGCGACCCACATTTTGTTAGGGTTTCTTGGGTTTAGGCTACCTGTAATTCATTCTTACATTGATTCCACCTAATTTGAGCTTAAAGCGCAACCCCCCTCCAGTAATGGATGCTCCCTTGCCAGAACTATGGGGAGAAATTTGCTGAAAGACATAGACCACAGCATATCAAAACGCCGCGGTCTTTGAGAAACACATTCATCTGTTGGTCATTGAGGACAGCCGGTGCAAGATGCATCCGACAGTGATGACGCCCTGCTGAACTTGAGTGTAAGCGGTCTAGGGTTTAGGGTTTAAGTCTTTCTCTGCAGATTCATAGGGGTCAAAAACAATTCAGACAATGATAGTGGGCCCTTTGTTTGGGTACTTCCCTCACCCTAATCCCTGAACACTGCACTATACTACACCCATGTTGCAAGATTGTGAGCTGGATTGCTTTAAGGAGTGTAAGTTCAGCTGCCGAATTATGCATCTACAGCAAAAGCAGGGCTTTCATACGATTGTGATTTAGCTTAAGTGCCTTAACATGCTAACTAAGCCCGATCTAATCCCAGTTCCCACATCAATTTCCATGTTCTCTTCCATTTAATCCTCCACTATGGTAACTTAACCACTTAACCCTGCAAACTCTATAAACTCTAGACCTTATACCCTTAAGCTAGTTACCTGGAGCAACCAAATACCCATGATGCTATATACCATTTCATTATCTTGAGGTTGAAGTCTATTATCGCCCGTCTCTTGTAAACACTCCAAACCCAAATCCCTAAACAACCCTGACCCGTAACCCCAAACCCTTCAACCCTAAAGCCTAAACCTTAATCCTGAACCCCCAAACCCTCAACCCTGAACCCTAATCCTTAACCCTAAGCCCTAAACCCCAAGCCCTCAACCCTTAAGCAGACGAGGACGACTCCGTTGCGTCCAGCAGCTCCCATGGAACGGCTGGGCCGCTAAACGACTGAGTGCGAGCGAAATCTCAGAAGTTCCCCGAACCCGCTAGGGTTCAGGGTTTAGGGTATATATTAATGTAACCCCATGGGTTCAGGGTTTATGTTTTAGGGTATATATTAATGTAACCCCATTAGAGGAGGCACAAAGGGATTACGTAGGGATTATGAAGGGGTTATGTAGGGATAAGGGATTATATGGGGAGTCTCCTTCCTGGGTCCGGAACAATGTGGGCTCCTATAGTGGGATTAAGGCTTACCAAAATTAGGGGCTCCTTTTTGGGTTCCCCCCATAGTAAGTGTTATCGTATTCCAATATGAGGGTTCGTGGGGGATAGGCTTCTTTTCATAGAGTCCCCTTAATAGGGGTTGTGGCATCGGGGTAGGCACTGAGGACCTTATTCTTATGAGTTTGCAAAGCTGCGATTATGCGAATTCATCCCGTGCTCGTCATTTTGCAGGGATTCTTTATGTATACCGTTTGGGCAACAGAAATGAGAAACCTTGCATATCTTGTGAGAGACCTTCGGGACGCGGCCTTCGCAAACTCATGCTGAGATTTCTTGTTCTGCTTGGTTGAGCGCGACTCCGCTGCAGCGGCTTCATGCTGGTGTTGGCAAAAAACGTGACTCGTTGATGCTTGAAGGGGAGTGGAGCGGAATCACAAGTATAGATTGTCATAACGGTATATATGGGGGCTAAGCAGGGAATATTTTAGGCGGTTACTTCTCCACTCGTCTGGAAGCACCCGTTGAGGACTTTCTGGCCCCTGTTGGGTGCTTTTCAGAGGTTAGCTGCATGTGTGAGACCTGTACAGGAATTGCTGATTTGGGAAACCCTAAACCCTAAACTGCTGATGTTATGCCCTACTTGGAGATTTATCTTCAGAACTATAGCATGAGGGGGCTCCCTGCACGCTACGACAGCAGCCCAGATGCTTGCGACGGACTAGAATGTGTTGCAGAAACTGTTGTAGGCCCACCCCCAGCTTCTTACTCCTGGATGCCGCTGTTCTCGCTGTTCCAGTTACATTTCAGAAATTGAGTTGCTCAAGTTGGCTAATCTCATGGATCACATCATAGGCATGCGTACTTGGTGATGGATGCTTTGACGCTGGCGCTGCAGCACATGTAGGGCATTGCAGACTCGAAGCTTGCTAAATTGGAGTCTCCCTGTTAAATTATTTGCCCCAAAATTGTAGCAACAACCCACTCAAGCCAATGAAAGCCTAATGGCTGAGATAAATAAAGTCCCTGCCTATTCTAAGCATCTATCTTGACATCATGACGTACTGTCACGTGCAGTCATTCAAGGTGCATATGCAACTCCAAGAGCGCACAGACGCATAAGAAGGCAGTGCATGCCATCGCAGCCGGAAAGCAAACTCCGAACCCCTAAACCCTAAACCCCCTAAAGGGCCTCTACCTCATGGCTGGCACATAGGCCCAGTGCTGGTGGCAAGGCACGGGATGCCGCAGAACCTTTTCGAAATTCCTCTACTATGTGGAGTCTAGGGTTATAGGGTATATATTGCATGGGGTAGGCACGGGAAATTGGGGTTCAGTTGAGGATTCTTCAAGTGGGTCCCTGTGACAGGTAGCTCCAAACATCTAGCGACATGGAGCTCCAGATGAGGAGTTTCGTTTCCATTGCGCTGAACCCTAAACATCCCAATGTAACTAATTTTCGTTTTCTTTTACCTGAACCCTAAACCCGTAAATATCCCAATAGAACCCATAATCCCCAAACAGAGTCAGATGAGGATTCCACCGGAGAGGTGGTGCATAACCCTGGCTGAGTTCTATGCCTTTGTGAAGGAGGCTTCAGTTTCTGGTTTAGGGTTTTGCCCCAAATATAAGCCAACCCCTACCCCAATATTTGTTATGTTCCGCAACATATATGGGCCAGCAATGGGGTATTGCAAAATTAGGGGTGGGGTATGTGTTGTACTCCAAGCAGTGTGTTGTCATTTGGGGCCTCAAATTGCTAATGAACTTTCCAACTCAAGGGAATTCCTAAACTCCTCGCCCCAAACCCTAAACCCTAAAGCGTGTGGCATTGGTTGATTTTTGCGTCCAGCGCTCCTGGACACCGGCGCGAATTTTGATTCTAGCATCCCTCAGATTTTCGCCAGATATCGCACGCCCAACAGCTCGAGGTAGGTACTACTTATAGAGTATATTCAGACTTTGGTTTAGGTCCATTGGATGACCATAACATAAGGAGATCCTGGGCGTCGGGGTCACTCCGGTCTCTGCGCTTGGTATTCGGTGGCGAAATACAGAGATGTCTGTGCTTTTGGTGGACTTACACTGCTTGGGGTCTATAATACGAAGGTGAGGGACCTCTTGATGTGTCAGGGTTACGCGGTGGGTAGCTCTCAGAATGAGATGACAGGGGCACAAATAGACCTTTGCACGCGCAAGTAGCTACCTAAATTTCTGAACCTGAGTGAGGTTGCATGATCGTTACTGCTTGCATAGATGCAAAATACGTCAACATCGACGCAAAAAATCAACCCCACTCTGTTGAACCCTAGACCCTAGTTGAATCCTTTAGTAAGCCCTGAGCCCGAAACCGTGCGCCCATAATCTGTAGTTTTTTGGACCCCCAGCTGCTTATGTCTACGCTTCTGGGAAGAAGAAAATGGCTCATTTTCATTGCCTCGTCATGCTTTCTCCTCGTCTTTTCTTTTTTCATTTTTTTGTAATGATGCCTCGTCGCGTTCTTGTCATTCTCTTCTCCTTGTCCTTCTACTGTCATCTTTGTCGTCTGCCAGCTCATCAAGTTCGAAAGCCAGGGGAAGTTGAATCCCAACGCACCTCACGCTTCGACATCTACACATGCTGGACAAAAAGGTTTGGCAACCCCTGCCAGGGCGACTTCAGGAAGGTGTCCTGAAGTCCATAAAGGAAGGGTCACGGGGCATGACGAAAAAATGACAAGGGTTCGTGGAGATGACAACAAACGGCAACACAATGCCAACAAGAATAGGGTTTACGGTTTGGGTTTTAGGTTTAGGGTTTAGACGAACAATGACTACAACACTGACTGCCTTAATCCGCATCATAAAGGGGGGGACCTCAGTTTTGGAAACTTCCACGTGCCAGTCGGAGGTTCGGCGTGCCTGGAAGGCGGGCCGCGTACCCGAAGGCGAGCCTGGCCAGAACCTGGGACCCATTCAGCGGCTGTCCTGTAGGGCTTAGGGTTTAAGGTGTGGGTTGCTTTGGGCTGTATAGGCTTAATATAGGGGTGTTATAGGGATAATGGAAAATACAATGGAAACTACTATTTAGGGCTTAGGGTTTAGGGTTTAGGTTGCTTTTTTGTAGGGTAAGCCTGGTTAGGTGAGAGATTGTCCCTTCCCCGCTAGTTGCAGGACTTTGGGAGGACCAGGAGATTTTTCAATCTGTTGTAAATCTCACAGGGGGTCTTCGTATCCCTCCCTTCACTTTGCTCAGGTGCCTGTACAGAAGCACATGTTGGAAGGTGGGAGGGATCCGGACGTTTCTTTGAGCTATAGTGTAAACTCCTTAAAGGGTGATATATTGTTATATAGGGGAGTATTGTAGGGCTTCTTCAAGGGTATACTAGGAGTTGAGACAAATGGCTCATATATTGCAGCATCATTTCCGAGAAGGCGTGCATCTTCTGCTTCTACCGTTCTACTTACTTAGCCAATGGAAGAACTTTTGACTTGTTGGGCTTCCTTTTTGGGTCTCTATCATAAAGTTTAAACTTGTTTAGCCCTGGTTATTGGGGGAGAGAGTCTAGGTCCCTAAAGAGCACTAAGCTATCTTATTTTGGCGGTACATCAAGGGTCTCGCTGTGCATGGAAACTCCCGTGTCTTATGATGAGACGGAAATTAATTACATGAGCTATAGTCTAAACTCTTTAAAGGGGGGTTATATAGGGAATTATACAGGGGACTACTACAGGGCTTATTAAGGGGGATACTAGGAGTTTAGACTATAGCTCACATGTAACATGAAGACCCATGATTTGTCTGGTTTTTCTATCCTAGCACTTGCAATCTCCCGGCAGCTGCCGAGGAACCCACGCCATCGAGACCCTCGACATGGACCCAATCTCTACCAGGCGTGACACAAACATCTTTGGGGTCCCTGAACCCCAAACCATTACCGCGTGGACCTAAACTGTATTTGCCAGGCATATGCACCCCGCAGTGAGCCAGGACACGCCTTTGCCAAATTGATTCGGTCAGAGGAGGAAGATGGGAAACAATAGGGGGTTCTAGAGAGTTTTCTGCAATTTTGTCATTTCTCTTTATGACGCTTGCTCTCATTGGTCCGTTCTGTAATTTCCCTACTAAGCACAAAAATCAGAGTCATGTTCAAGCCTGACATGTCTGCTTTCTCATGAACACATACAGCCAGCTAGTCCACAACCCTAAACCCTAAACCCTAAACCTAGGGCTTGGGTCTTGATTGGATTCTAAGCACACAGACCAACGAGGATCTGCAGCCTACATCGTCCAGTCTTGAACAAGCCCTGGGGTTTAGGGTTTAGGGTGTAGGAGTTTAGGGTTTAGGGTGTAGGGGTTTAAGGTTTAGACCTGGGAAGCCTATGCCCCTCAATTCTGGAACATACCTCACATCATAGTAGGCATCCTAGTATCCCTTCAGATATGTTCGTCTTGGGCTCTCTGGGTGATTCCAAGCAAGTTGGATCAGAAGGATACTCCCATGAACCCTAAATCCTAAACCCTTCTCCCACGCATGCGTTTTAGGTGTCAAATTTGAGCTTATCCTCGCACAGCCGCCTCTGAAGTCGCTAGAGCTATTGTTTTCTTCCTTCAGGTGCTCAAGGCTCAAACAGAAACCAAGGTAGGGTTCATAGCTTGAACAGAGTGAACATGAAGCATTTCCTCAATCAAGGAAAGGATTCCGGAGGACTAAACCATAACAGCATCAGCAATACAAATACACATTCAAAACGAGCAACACTAACAGACGTCAAAAGCTACCCCTAGGATCCTGACCATTACTGAAGGTTAACGAGCACTATGTGAAGCCCGTGACACAGGCTGCTGGCAGCAAACCATTGTACCCTGAACCCTTCGCCCAACAGCCTTATAAATCCCTATATGTCGAATCTAACGGCTATATAACTCTATATAAACCCTTATATCTATGTATCCCTAGCCATACCCATGGGTACTGCGGTCTAGGGCGTAGGGGAACTCTACCAGGCTGCTGGTTTAGGGTTTGGGGTTATGCCAAGACGAGAACCAGTTTCAGTTCGCAAACTATGTTTGCATTGTACATGATACGATTTCGTGAGAAGTCATAGCAACGTTTTTTCCAATTCTTTAGCGCAACCCAGCTCAGGGTGGAATCTTACCAGACCGACCCTCTATGGTAGGTTCTCATTAAAATGACTCCATATCAGTTTGGACAAGCCCCGCCATGCACAAATCCCTGGAATGAAGTTAGTACAGTACACTAGGCACCATGATTTTTTTGACCACACGATATTAGTCATCACACTTTTCATGTTTGATTTTGTATTATTCGTCTGCTCATAATGGGTAGTAGCAGGACCGCAGGAGGAGGAGTAGTACAGTGAGAGAAGCAGTTGAAATCACTGGAGTACCTGGAGGCGTGGCATACTTACAACGACGAATGCCAGCCGTGCAGGCAACAGTATCAACAGCAATGTTTGCCGAAATCATATGAGACCAATTCTTGCGTGACACATTTCCCATTCCCTGACTAACCCACTGGGAACAAGGTCCTATATCGCAATCCAGCAGTAGCTCAGCCTTGTTTGGAGAAAGTCAGGTATGGAGTAGTGATTCCCTAGTATTCCCCGCCGCCGTAGGCACAATTATTCCTAGTTCATTGTGTACCACAGTTGATGCTAAAAGTCCTGCATGACCCAAACCATCCGCTTTGGGAGTCATAGTATTTCCAATATACTAGGTCAGGCAGGATTTTCAACATCAACAGTATCTGGCGAAGGGCCGGATTTGTGTAGTTTGCATCAGGGATTATGCCACTCCACATTCATTGGAATATTTACCAACCCCCGCCCCAGACACCTATTCCCGATTGAAGCCTATTTTCGTTTTAGTCAGTAGGGGTGTCCTCAAGGGGGGGGTTAACAATTACTCCCCTACGTAAACCGTTAGCACAAACCCTGAAGTACCACGAACAATCTGAGGCTGCCGGAGGAATGAGTTATGCACTGATGAAACATCCGGACGGTCTCCTTTGCCAGGCAATGGCTTTTAGGGTTTAGGGTTATAGGCCCCCTTAAGTAGATAGAATATGGGGTATATGGAGATCTTTTTTCATATACCCAAAGCCATGTTCGATCTACTTAAGGGGGACTATAAGGGCTCTTCTCCAAGGAGACATGCAGATTTCCGTAAATTTGGAGTCCCCTTTCTGGGGGCCCCAGAATACGGATGGTAGTATATAGTCTACTGTATAGTTTTTCCAACTCGGACCCCCTGGTTTGTGGTAATTTCCAAATGGACCCTCGGGGTTTAAAGGTTTTGCGAAGCTTAGAATTAACCCCTAAACCCTCAACCCCAAAGCCTAGGGCTTAGTGACCTTGGTGCAGGTTTTCATCTCGCACGCCTGGGCCGAAGGCTGCGCTTTCTTGAATGAGTTGGCTCATGGTATAGGGTGTACCTAGACCTCTATACTTTACCGCTTTTGGGGGGGTACCTGATTTTGTCATAAAGTCAGGTATGAAAAAAAAGGGGCGGGGTATAGGGGTCTAGGTAGGGTACAGGGTATAGGGTTTGCGGGTTCCCTCAAAAAAGCTGCGCAGACTTCGACGGGATCAATTACAGACCTTCCCCGTCAGGTATGTGTATCCGGCTACTACTCCAAGATTCGGGACCTAAATGCCCAACACCAAGCTTCCACGCTCTTGAGAAACCCTCAACCCTGCACGCTAAAATCACAAATCCCGAAGACCTTACACCCTCTCTGAGGGCTTAAAATCCTAAACCCTAAACCCCAAACCCTAAACCAACCCTTAACCCTAAACCCTAAACTCATTCAAGCCCTGAACCAGGGATCTTCGAGCTTTCCGACCTGGTACGACGGGGTTGGCCTCGATTGCAGTCGCTGCGGAATCTGACGCTCAGCTGCGGTCTAAGAATTTGGGGGTTGCGGGTTTAGGGTTTAGGGTTTGGGAGGGGGACGCTGTGGACGCTAGTTTTTTTTGTTCTTCTTTTTTAGTTTTTTTTAGTTTTGGTGTTAATCAAGAGAATTTTTTGGAAATGTCAAAAAAGGTTTCTGAAATAAACCACAAACTTTCTCCATAGTCTATTCATTCCATAAGAACACAGTCTGAACTTAAAGCACCAAACCTTTTCTATTGGAGGAGAGA